GTTGCCCAGCTGGGAGAAAAATCCCAGGATCAGGGTGCAGGGTGACTCCCAGGCAGAGCATCCCTGGGAAAGCAGATTGCCAAGGACTTTGGGGTGCAGCTTGGTGGGAGAAGGAGTCCCTGCACATCCATGGGGAGCTCCTCGTGGTGTCCACATGGCACAAGAGGGTTGGATTTCCAACGGGATTTCTGAACAGCAAGACAGTCAAGGCACAGCTCCCCTCAGCCTGGCCCTCCTTGGGGTCTCAGCACCCCAGGGTTCCACTGCTGCTCTCGCCATTCCAGGTTGTGCCCTGTGCTGGTGGCAGGGACAGGGCTCTGCTGCTCTGAGCTCAGCACAACCACACTGGAACACCCAGCCAGCAGCTGCTGCAGCTTCCAGCACTGTAAATCCAGCTTCAGCATGGAAAATCCAGATTGCCTGTTGAGTCTATCGGGTGTCCTGGGCCAAAGCTCGCCCTGGCAGACATCCCAGCCCTGCCAGGGCCAGTGGAGCTGGGCCATTTGGCTCCAGAGGAGACCCGGGGGTGCAAATTCCTGCTGATCCACCCGGGAGGCAGAACTCAAACTGTCCCAGAGCCCCAGATTGTCTGAGCCAAACCTGAGCCAGGGCTGTGCACAGCCAGCTGGGAAACAGGGATTTACTACCTGGGGGTTGGGCCTGGGAAGTTTTCATCCCATGGGGAAGGGGCTGCTCTGGCATCAGTGCTCCACACGAGCTGCCACCTGTACCACAGGGGCTCAGGGAAGGGCCAGGTCGCTTCCCCAGACCAGCCTCTGCATCCTCACCTGGGCGGTGGGGAACTTGAGGCACGAACATTCTACCTGAAGCTCATTTCCCTCTGGCCAGAGCTTTTTTTCCAGCACATCCATAGCCCTCCTCAGAGCTCCACCAACCCTTCAGCCCCAGCTCTCCCAGCCCTTTGGTTTACAGCACACAGCCACTTCCAGAAACCCTCACAGCCCCAAACCCAGGGCGAGGGCTCCACACATGACCCAAGGGGCTCCCCAACCTCACAGCCTTCTTAAAAAGCTGCTGATGGAAAAACAACAGACCAAACATATCCAGGGAGCGACCTTTCCCAGCCAGCAGCTCGCCCAGGGACCAGCCGAGACCCTTTTCTTTGGAAGAAATTCCTGGACAGGCATCAGAGGTTTTCTGGTCTCTCCCTCTTTATTACACACGAAGATTTATTTGCAACTAGCTGTTTTGGTTTCTGGGAGCCAAGGCGGACGTGTGGCTGTTCCCCCACCTGAAAAAGCCATCCCTTCCTCCTGACCTCATCCCAACCGTTGCCACAACAACCCTCGGAGAGACGTCAGGGCAAAGGATTGGGGCTTCAGGTGGGGAGGGAGCAGCAGCAGCAGCTGAAGTGCTCAAATCACAGAAAGAGCCCGGGGAGAGCCAGAAAGCAAATGAAGGGAGATGGGAGGGAGAAGGAAAACTCAGCAAGAGCCCAGCACTGAGACAGGGAATGGCTTCCAGATCACAGGTCCTGCTCTGCCCCGTGCCAGGGATGCCATGGAGCCACGTGGGAATGAGTTCAGAGAGGAACTCGAGCTTCCCCATTCCTCTTGCTGCTCTCTACTGCTCCTCTGCTCCAGTTTTCAGGGCAGAGCTGCCTTGCTTGGCCAAGCATCTCACTCCAGAGCTGCTGATTGGCTTGTGCTCATTCTTTCTTCCTTCAGCAGCAAGCCCATATTCTGTTTCATTGAAGGTTTTTTTTGCCTCCCCAAGAAAATTTTTTGTAGAAAATTCACCAGGATTTGAGAAAGAACTTGGCAACAGCATTTTTGAGGAGGTTGGAGATGTGTCCAAGGGCCAGTGCTGGGAACTCCCATCTCTCTTTACACAGATCTCTGCTTTCAGACAGATCCAGTCTGACCATAAAACAGCAGAACCAAACCCAGCCCTCAGGCCTGTCACATGGAGCAGTCCAAGGGGATGTGGTTCCATCCCCCCAGAGCATGGTACCCACTGCTCCTGCTCACAGAGGGTGTCAGCTCCAGCACCACACACCGAGCTCACAGGAACAGGCAAATTCCAGCGTCACCTACTGGGGAGACCTGGGGTTTGTGTGGGGTAATTCCCACACAGAATCCTAAAATGGTTTGGGTTGGAAGGCTCCTTAAAGATCATCCTGTCCCGCTCCCAGACAGCCGCCCCGGGCTCCGGGATGCGCGTCCTGCCGGGCGGGCTCCCGGTCGGAGCCCCGGCTGCTCCGCAACCGTCTGGCTCTCTCTTGTGGCTGCTCAGCCCCGGTGCAGCCTCGCTGCTCCCGCCCCGACCCTCCGGGAGCCCGCGACGACCCTGTCCCCGTTATCCCATCCCGGTGCCCCGTCCCCGTTATCCCATCCCCACTGTCCCATTCCGGTTATCCCATCCCCACTGTCCCATTCCGGTTATCCCATCCCGGCTGTCCCATCGCGGGTCCCACACGAGACGCCTCCACCCTCCCAATCGCTCCCTCCTCCCCGTGGGAACAGCCACAACACCGGGAAAAAGCACCACAGGCAGCTTAGTGGGACCGGCGATCCCACTGAGAGAGCCTGGCATGGGTGGGGGGGACAGAGGCGAGGACCCCCCGGGTGTGGTGACACCCGTCTGCTCCTCATCCCACGGCTCTGTCCACCCACCCATCCATCCACCCATCCATCCATCCATCCATCCATCCATCCATCCATCCATCCATCCATCCCCACAGGCAGAGCCCGGCCCCAGCTCATCACACCCACCCCGGCCCCAGCCGGCGCTGCCTCCCTTTTCTATCCCCCCCGGAGCCTTGACACCGTTTTTTCCGTGGGTGGCTCACAGGCTGTAATTAAGAGCCTCCTCTCCCGCCTGCCCCAGCTCCCGTCTCCGCAGCTGCTGTGGAAGCCAAGGAAACCCCCTTTCGTCCTCTCTCTCCTTTATAATTTTATTTTTCCCCCCTCCCTTCGGAACATAAAGGGATGACAGTGCTCCGAGCCAGGGTCTTTTGCATTTCTGAGTTGGTTCTGTTAATTGGAAGGAGGGTTAAGAATCTGCAAGGTCGTTTCAATCTACATCTGACCTTCAGAGTAATCCTCTATGCCAACACCAGAGCATGTCATTAAAATGAGGCCCTCTTCCATATCCCGGCATCCCTTTATTCTCTCCTTGTGCACATTAATTGCTCATAAGTTGATTTGATCTCCCTATTCTGCAAGAAGTAAATTGCCCTCTTATTTCGCCATTTTCATCCTGTTTTCTTAATTAGGCCCTTAAAAATCTCTAGGGCCTCAGCCGGGCCGCAGGCCTCATCCTGGGAATAAATTTTGATCTCAGCCTGATAAAGAGTGAGCAAACCCGGAGATGGAACAATGTCATTCGCTCCCCTCCCTCCCTCCACACTATTCTCCTGACATGAAAAGGCTATCAGTTTTTCTCTGTGTTAATATAGGAAATAATTCACACTTCAGGCGTTGTTCTCTATTTAGTGTTCACACTCCCCAGATAAATCAAATCAGGGATTTTTTTTTTTTTTTTATTTTTTCTCTAAAGTGTCTGGAACCACTCACTGCTCCTCTCCCCCCTCAGACTCCTCTCGCTCTTTTTTCCCCTCCTTCTTCTTTTAATAAAGTTTCCAAGATTAGCCCCTGTGATTTTCCATCCTGGGAAGTCTATTTTAAGGTGGATTTGCTTTCTTTTCTTCCCTTGTGTGTGTGTTTAACACCGGCACAGAGGGGAGTGGGGGGCAGTGGGAGCCTGGCACGTGGCTGCAGATGGGGCATGGGATGAGTTTTGCCAGGCACGGGCTCAGCAGGACACCTTACGAGCAGGTTTTTCCCGGGGGTGATGCCAATCCAGCCTCAGCAGCAGGAAAAGGTCCTTCGAGCACCACGACCCTCCCTCCCCCCGGGACAAGAAGAAACTGCAGCGCTCCAGGATGTTGTAAATAAATATATTTTAATGATTCTTCTTCCATTCCAGTTCATTCTTTTATACATTTATTTATAAAACAGTAGTAAAATTTTTTAATCAGAGCACAGTGCATTAAAAAAAAAAAAAAAAAAAAGAAAAACAAACAAACCCCCGAAAAGATTTTAAAAAAAAATAATAATTATAATCCACAACTGTTTACTCACGGCTGGGGGAGACACCACATCTCGTGCTCTGGTTGAGCTGCTGGTGCCTGAGGGCCCAACAGAACCACCCTAAAGCCACGATAATCCCAATTTCCTATGGAATTTCGTAGGCCTGCCCTGAGGCAGCCAGGCAGCCCCTCTGGGGTGCACAGATCCATGGATCCCCCATCCCCAGGGAGCCAGCACAGCTCTGGGTGCTCTCACCCTGCCAGGGGATAATTCTCTTTACAGGCACTAACGGCAGCACACAAAGGGTGCCAAGGCCTCCTGTGAACACCCCAAACCCCACAGCTCCTCAAACCAAGAGCCCCTCGCCCAGCACCCTCCTTCCTGGCCCCTGCCCTGTCCCCAGCACTCCAGGGCCACTCCAACACCTCCTCCCTCTTCCTTCCCCCTCTCCTCCCCTCCTTCTGCACTTCCCCATACCCTCCCATCCCACAGGCACCTCTCCAGGGGGGCACTGTGGCTGTTCCCCACTCAAATCCCAAATCCAGCCATGATGGGGCATGTTTTTCTCACCTTGGCTGGGCTTTCCTAACCCCACATATCCCCCATCCTTGGTCCAGGACGGGGGGCACTCAGGGAGCCCCATCCCCAAGGGCACCCACGGCCCAGAGGGTGATGGTTGCCAAGGGGGTCTCCTCTCCCCCGCCTTCCCTCCTCTCCCTGAATAAATCCACGCAGTATTTTCCCTGTGAACAGTGTCCCCCTGCCCCTCCCAGCTCTCTCCCAGCCACCTCCCAGTCTGGGAAGGCAGAAGAAGCAGAGCTCAAAGCAGATGCCCAACATGGAGCCATCCTGGCTGGGGAACAAGCTGGTGACACTTGGAAGAGAAACAACCCCCAGAATGCAAGGCAGAGAGCAGCAGCTCAGCTTTGGCAACTGGTACAAACCACTCATGCCCACATGGGGCAGGACTTTCAACAGGTGTCCCCAAAACAGTGTAAAACCCCTTTATCCTTCCAGCAAAGAGCCAGGGCTCCGTGTCACAGGGCGAGGCACCTCTGTGGGGACGTCTCCAGGGAGGCTGGAGGTCACCTGACACCGTGTCCAGCCCTTGACCAGTGGCCAGTGAGGTTCTGGGGTGGTGGGTGCTGCCTAACCCCGAGCTGGGGTCCCCCCACAGGGTGGGGGTCACAGCAGGGGGTTGGTGGAGCATCCAACACCCCATCCCAGCCGTTCTGGATGCCTTCAACACCCACCTGAAGTTGTAGCCTCAGGCCCGGCTCACTCAGACAACCCCCCGGGTGCCACGTTAATGAATGTGCTCCACTAATTGGAGCCCCTGGTGTCCCCCCAGCCCCGTGACCCCAGAGGCAGCGAGTGCTCCGAGGAAGGAGGAAGCACAAGGGACGTGGCACCCTGAGGTGTCGGGGGCTCGGACACCACACTGGACAAGATTCCTTGGGAATGGGGGCTCCGGGAGCGGGGCGAGGAGGCAGCAAAGCCAGACACAAAGCTCGGAGCATCGTCCCTCTGCCCCCAGGGCTGGGGGCTCCCAGAGGCACCCTGGGGAAGGGGACCAGGCCAGGAGGGTTTCACTGAAAGGCAAAGCAGCCGAGACCACGCTCCCAGGCTGTGGAATCTGCAGTCAGGCCAACGCCACAGCAAGCCAGGAAGGTCCATTCCTGCCCCTGGCAAAAACAAGCTGAGAAAGACACGGTGGCACCCGGCGGGCACGACCCGAGCCCCCGTTGCATAGAGAAAGGTACTCCTGGGAAGATTCAAGTGCGTGGCAGGACGGGCTCCTCCTGCCAGGCGTGTCCTGTGACTTCACACACCAAACCTGACGGGCCAGTCCTCGCCCCGGCGCCGCAGCAGCTCCTCCTCACAGCATGTCTGTGTCCTCCATGCTGAAGCTGCTCCGGCGACTGCTGGCCTTGGAGGCCTCGGGGGACATGGCCGAGAACAAGGGGTCAGAGGCCAGGGGCAGCATCGTGTCCTGCATCAGCATCAAGTCCAGCTCCTTCTTGGATAGGGATGGGAAGGAGGCGCTGTGCCCAGGCTCCAGGCTGTCCGGGAAGCCCTGGGAGCCGTCGTCGAAGCTCAGGCTGTGGGTAAAGTCCAGCTGGTGGAAGGGGGACGGGGGCGGCGGAGGCAGCGCCGGCTGTGGCTGCGATTCGGGGTCCGGGGGTGGCAGCAGTGGCTCCAGCGTCCCCTCGTCCCCGCTGGCTTCCTGCTTGACCACCTGCTGAGCCAGCTCGGCCACGTTGACGCCCGAGGGCGAGGAGGTGGGCAGCCCATGGACACGTGCCTGCATCTCCAGCTCCTGCAGCGGGACACAGCGGGGCTCTGGTGGGATGCCACGCACGGGGACGCAGCACACGGGCATTTATGGAGGTGGCAGGGGCAGAGGGACTGAGCTCACAGAGAGGGAGCCCCTGGGAGAGGTGGAGGATGGAAAACGGGTGACCCATGCAAAGCTCAACACGGTGCAGCGACCTGAGCCTCAGACATCAGGTTTGTCTGCAGACTTTGCTCCTGAGGACTCACCAGCCACAAGAGGGGTGAGAGCCCCTGCCTGTCCCCTTGGCAGGGCAGGGCTGAGCTGCTCGTGGGGCTGGAGCCGAGCAGAGGGAGGGCAGAGCGCAGGGAAGCTCACCTGGATGCGGAGCAGCAGCTGCTTGTTCGTCATCTCCAGGCGCCGCGAGTGATTCTCCAGGTCCCGGGACCTCTGCAGGTCCTTCTGCATCCTCTTGATGTAGTCCACAGACGCCTTCAGGATTGTCCCTTTGTTCCAGCGCACGTCCCTGTCATCCAGGGAGGAAAAAGAGATGGGCCTGTGTGCCAGCAACGTGTCCCCCCACCCCTGCTGCACCGACAGCCCCTCTGCAAGTACCACTGTGTGCTGGGCAAGCCCACAGGACCCACAGCTATCCCCACCCTGCAGGAGCCACGGGTACGTACAGGTCATTGGCCTTGGGGATCAGCATCCCCAGCTCCTTGATGCGGTCGTTGATGTTGAACCTTCGCCGTCTCTCGACTGCAGGTGAGAAGAGAGGGATGGAAGTGAGGGGGCAGCAGGAGCAGGGGAGGCTCCACATCCCACAGCCCCCCAGACACGCTGCTGCTCATGGCTCGTGGGGCTGGGAGCCACCACTGTGCCCCAGCCAGACCCTCTGGAGCTGGGGGGCTCAGGATGAGAAACCTCTGGAGCCAAACACCAGCCATGGCCCAGCAGGTCTGACTTCCCTCCCCAGAAGGACAGTGGGGTGGTTCCTGCACTGCATTTTGGACAGCCAGGAAAGAGGGAGACATGCAAGGGGCTGGGGGTCTTTCCTGACAGTGAAGTGGGATGGGAAGGGAGACCCGACTCAGAGAAAGGAGGAATGAGGATGAAGTGATGGAGAAAGGGCTCTGGGGTCAGGACAGGGAACTCACTCAGGTTGTGATTGTCTTTCTTCTGGCGCTCCTTGGCCAGGGCTCGGCTCTCGGCATCTGCAGGAGACCCACAACATCACCCAGAGGGGGTGAGGCACAGCCTCACCAGGCACAGCATCCCAGGCTGGCATCAGAGCCCCCCAGGACCCCCCAGAGCCACCCTCCCTGCCCAGGGGGACAGAGCAGCCCCAGCCAGCCATTTTTGGCACTCGCTGTCACCTCCCCAGCTCTGGGGACGTACCTGTGAGTTCCCTCTTCTGGGTGAGGTCAGCAGGGCAGGAGCTGCTGGTGACACCGACGAGCGAGGCCGTCACCTGGGGGTCCCCACTATAGACATTCATGTGACTGCTGGACATGGGCAGCTGAAGAGCAGAGGGACAGGTGGGTTAGCTCCATCCAGGGTGGGGACCGGGATCAAGCCCAGCCCCTTGGCCTCTGGGATGGGAGTGCGTAGCCCGGGCAGGTGGAATTGTCTTCCCATGGCCCTTAAAGCAGCAATAATCAGAGCAGCAAAGAAAACAGGACTTCAAAGGGCACAGCTGATCCCCTCCCACGGCCAACATCTAAAATAGGGCAGATGAATCACATCCGAGAAGGGCTCGTCAGGATGAATCCCACTGGGAGGCACAAGCTGCCGTAGGATCTGACCCAGGAGATGGGGCTGCTCTGAGGAAGCTTCTTGCTGGGAAACTGCTCCTGGCACTCACATCCCCCCACCCTGTAGTGGACACTGGGTCCCTCCCCACACCCCTCTCCCACCTCTCCTGCTTTTTAAAAGGTTTCCCAACTGTCATTAGAGGGAAAGAAGCTGGAGAACTGGCTCTCGTGGAGAGAGGGAGACATTGCTGCCTGTAAGGCCGGGGCTGGTTTGGGCTGGCACCCCACACGTGGAGGAATGTCCCCTCTGTGCCACCTCTGTCCCTGCAAGCACAGGGCTGTGGGGCCTCCAGAGCCCCCTCCCTCCCTCATCACCCCCCACTCACCGTGTTGGGCATGTGGACTTCGGGGTTCATGTAGCCCAGGACGTCATCCAGGCGCATGATGTCATCGATGACCTCATCAAACTGAAAGGAAAAGCTCAAGTTCCACCGGGCTCCCCTGCCCCTCCCAGCACCCTGTGTCCCCCCAGCAGCGCGGTGACACCCCCTCACCTCCCGCTCGGGGTTGGAGCCGATGTTGAGCATGGCCATGGGGCTGTTGGGAGCGCTGTTGCCCGCCGAGGAGGACAGGACGTGGCTGGGCCGCACGCCGGGGGACGCGGCGGGCGGTGGCTTGGGAGAGTGGCTGGCAGGGCTGACGTGGGCAGCGAACTTGTTCCCGTAGGTTTCAGAGAGGTAAGCCTGAACCTTCTTGTCCCGCGACTTCTGCAGGTGGTACGTGGTGGGGTTTTCCAGGTAGGACTGGACCTGCGAGGAGACAAACCATGAGGGACCCCCGCGGGCTCCCCCACGCCCGGGTAAGGGGGACACCCCCAGCACGGTACCTTGAGGACCTCTCCAGGCACGGGTGGTGGGGACTGGAAGTGAACGGGGGTGTTGATGGCGGGGGTGGAGGCCACGGGCATCCGCTGCTGCTGCATGTAGTTCATCATCATCTGCTGCTGCACCCGCTCCCGCTCCGCTTCCTGCTGCGCCTGCTGCTTCATCAGCTCCATCCGCAGCCCGATGCGCGACGCCATGGTGCTGGAGGGGACACCGAGCTCACCCTGAGAGGAGGACACGGCACGTCACCAACAGCCTGCTCTGCAGGAGGGAAACTGAGGCATGGGGAGGAAGCGACACCCCGGAGCACCCGCGCCGGCCCTAATCCAGAATGAACGTCCCAACGCCGGCTGGATGGCTCTGTCCTCCTGCTGCAGCCTCCCACCACACCACCGCTGTCCCCGGGGACAGCCAGGGACCCCGAGGGGGACAGGGAGCAGCCACAACCCCGCGCCCGGAGAGCGTGAACTCACGTACCGCGGGTTCAGCCGGAGCTTTGAACCACCAACTTCCCAAACACCGGAGCGACGGGAAAACCCAGAGCCCGGGAGCGAAAGGGAAAGAGAAAGCAAGGCAAGAGCAGGAAGAAAAGGCCGGCGGGTGCCAGGAGCCAGAGGCAGGTTTAACCCCAGCCCAGGCTGGCCCAAAGCTCCGCTCCGGGGTGGGATGAACAAGGCGGGCTCTGTGCGGGGCCCGCACGCGAGCGCAGGGGCGGGGGGAGCGGGCGAGGCCCCCGCCCCGCACAGACCGGCCCTTGTTCCCCCGTACAAAGGGGACGGCGGCCCGTGGAGGGCCAGAGGATGCCGGGGCACAGGGAGCTGCCCGACCCACGGGGCTCGTTCCCCACGCGGGGCCGGGATGCGGGAGGTGCCGCACGGGATGGGGGCCGGATCTGCACCTGCAGGGTGGGAGGGAAGCAGAGCACAGGACCCGAAGCAAAGCTGCCAGGGGAACAAAACACCCGGGGGGGGCATCACCAGGCAAACTGGGGGGGTTCTGCTATTCAAATACAAGGTGTGATCGCAGACAGAGGGGCCACGGCAGACACAAAACACCGGCCCTGGGACGCGGTGCCACGCGCTGTCCTGAGGGGAAATTAAATCAAGGCAGCACGGACAGCAATATGATTACACAGCTCAAGAGCAGCTATTGACTGGCAAGGGGAAGGGAATTAATTAGCCATGGAGGCCCATCCGAAGGGGGATGGGAGCCAAGAGCCTGGGACAGTTATCCACTGGAGCTTCGTTAAGGCTGATGTTCCAAATGGCCCTTGAGGAGAGGACAGGGGGCTGTTTGAGATGGGAAACAGCAGAGCTCCGTGGAAAAGACCCCAGTGACACCAGGGACAGCCCACAGAGGGTGTCACCTGAAGGGTGCCAAGGTGTAGCCACTCACAACACAGCACCCACTCTCCCCCACCAGCCCCTGTCCCACCACCCTGCCTGGCTGCAAGACCCTCCTTATAGAAAATAGGGGGGGGGGCATCAAAAGCATCCCCTCTCTCTCTCAGGATGGGGATGGGGAAGGGTGGCCAGAGCCAGGCCTGATAAGGAGAGGGGGGAAATTAGGTCAGGTTTAAAATAACCCCCTCAGTTCTGCTTGGCTTCCCCCCTGCCCCCCGAAACACTGAGCAGCTTCTGCTTTCACTCTGAGTCAGCCCCAGCGGGACAGGATGGGGACCCGGCTGTCACTGTGCAGGCACCCCACCCTGGGGGACACGTCCCACCCTGCAGACACATCCCACCATCCCTTGATCCAGGGGGACAGACACAGAGCACAGGGGGTGGCAGCTCCATCCAGGATACCTGTTATTCCTGGGAGGGTGCCCTGTGGTTCTCCCCCTGAGCCGGAGCCGTCCCTGCATCACTGGGAGCCCCAGACTGGTCTCTGCTGGGAGGAGACCCCGGCAAGGGTTCATCCTGGTTCACAGGGAGGCAGGACAGTGGGAGGCCCAGGGTGGGTGATTGAGCAACAGGAAGGGGATGGAGAGGCAGAAAAGGGGCTGAGGGGTGGGAAGCTGGAGGGAGGAGGAAAAAGGTCACGATCCCTCTCCACACCCCAACTCCTCTTTTCCTGTTTGGGGGGGACGCAGAACACAGGGCTGTCCAGGCTGCAGCCATGCTCCATCACCACCCACCAGACCCACTGCCAGGGAATGCATCTCCCTTCCAAATATCTCTGCTGCTACTTAGCAGCGCGGTTATTTCTGGACCTTTCTTGCTTTCCCTCTGGGGGTGTTATTTCATCAAGAACCCAACATGCCAGGATGGCACTCGGGGGTGGCTCCAGCCAGAGGATCCCCAGTGGCACCTAGAGCTGCCCCAACCCTCCCTAATCCCCCTCAGGACTTCACAGAGCCCCGAGCTGTCCCTCATCCCTGCAGTGACAGCCCGTGGCACGGGGTCGGCTGCTCAGCAACCGCTGGGACGTTCTGGAGCGACATCGGGTGCTGCCCCGCAACGCGAGGGGCCAGGCTGGTGACAGACCCACTGCTGAGAGGAGCGTGGGGCACCCAGAGACACCTGAGGGGACAGAACACCTGCAGCCACACACCCCGGCCCCAGAGCACCCCCCGGGGCTCCTGCCCAGCCCCATGGCCGTGCCCAGGTGTGGGTCAGAAATCAAAGCTGCCCACAGGCAGTTTCCAGATTTAGCCCCTGCAGAGTGCAGGGATCAGGTTACCCTCCCAGGGCGGCCATGGGGAGGTGGCACCACGGTGCCAGTCCCGCCTGCCAGGCACAGACACCCCCCCTGCAAATGCCACACACCTGCCTGTCCCTCTGAAGGGAGGGAGCCGTGCCCCACTCAGCTGAGAACCCCCAAACTCATCGCACGTGGCGCCGCTGCCCAGCCCCGCTCCCGCCTGCGCTGATTTCCCGGTCGATCGCGGCTGTTTTACGAGCGGAAAAATCAATTGGCAGCTCTGGGGGGGAGAGGGGACCCCCGGGGAAGGAGGGGGGCCGGGGCCATCCGCCCACCCACCCCCGCTCCGGGCTGGTAACTGAGGGGCAGCAAAAAGGAAAGAGAGAAGCAAGAAGTGAAAACAGCTTCGCTTCTCGCTACTGGCAGCGAGTGCCGGCTGAGCCATCCCTTCCTTCCTTCCTTGTTTCTCGTTTTCAAATGCCAGGGGGGTGGGGAGAGACACGGGGGTGCCAAGTGAGGGAGCCCTGGGTACCCCAGGCCAGGCAGGCACAGCTGGCTCGGTCCAGGTAGCCACAAGGCCAGCGGTGTTTGCTCCGGATCAAGGAGCATCTGCTCCAACATCACTGAGCTGCCACCCCGCTGGGCACCCACAGAGCCTCCCCACGGGTGCCCGTGGCCCAGGGATGGGCTCTGCTGCCACCCTGCTGTGTGGGACGGGGGACAATGGGGCAGGGGTTACCTGGGTGCAGGACAGGGCCAGGGGACCCTCCAGTGCCAGGGCCAGCAAGTCGCGGCTCCTTCACGCTCTGTGTTCCTCATTTTCAGGCCCCCGGTTTTAACGAGGCAGCAGCCACGAGGGGTAAGGGGGGGGAAGTTGCAAAAAACCTCCAAACCTGCTTGTTTTTCTCACTGCAGTACAGGAGTGAGCCATCAGGCCACCTCCATCAGAATGAGGAGAGTGGGCAGCCCCAGGAAGGGGCAGTGGGACAGGGTCTGACCTGCAGTGTTAGGAAGGGATTCCTCCCCCCACGAAGGAAAACCCAGCAGTAAGGAAGGCAACCTCCATCCTTGGAGAGGATGTTGGAGCACCAACATCAGCCATGCCTGAGGCTGCACCAGAGGCTCCAGAGGTCCCACCCGGCTTATGTCCTTCTGGGGTGAGGATGAGGTGGTGGGAAAGCGGGGGGAAAGCCCCATTTCCAACCCCCGAGAGCAACAGTGCCCTCCCCATCACCCACCCAGCGGGCAGGAGACGTGTCGGGCAGGTGGGTGGGCAGGGCCACCCCAGCCCTGTCCGGACGCTCCTTCCCTGCCCGGGGGTCACGCAGCCCTGAAAGGGAGAAGGAGCAGGCGGAGGGACTTGGCAAAGACAGGTCGGGGTCAGTTGACAGCCCCGGCGAGGGACTGAGTCACCGGCACCGTTTTTAGCCGCGGCATCTCAGAAACGCGGCCCGCGACGCTGTTAACAGGCCCCGGGTCAGAGGCCAAATGCTTTCCCTGCCCTGCGCTAAACACCGCGCCTGGAAGCGGCCCAGGGAGCCGGCACAGCACAAACATTCCCACCGGGCTGTAGGGCAGAGCGACCCCGGCTGCAGGGCTCCCCAAAACGCCCCAGTCACCAAGGAGGTGGCACCGACCCTGGGTATCACACAGGGCTGAGTGTCCCTTGTCACAGTGTCGCTCCCAGGGCTCAATAAATGAGGTCCTTAAACGCCCCCTGGTCATGGTGGTGCCAAGGTACGTCCACGAGAGCCCACCTGTGAGTGGCAGTAGTTATGGGGTTATTAATACAGAGCCTTGCTCCAATGTTTCTTCTTCGTCCCAAAAAGCTTCTTTTTCACCCCAGAAAAGCTCTCTGCCCGGCATGGCACAGCTGAGGGATGGCATGGAGACCATCACACCAGCTGGACACAGCAGGTGGAGACTGGCACCCATGGCCAGGTCCAGGGCTGGGAGAGGCAGGGGGACCCCTGGGACCCCAACACAGTGGGACCAGTCCCTGCCTCCAAACCTGAGCAAAATCCCTTCCCGCAGAGTGGCTGGAGCAGAGCAGGAGCCCTGATTGAAACATCACTGTCCAAATGACCACCCGGGGAATTCACAGCCCCTGCCGGCAGCCCCTGGCCCCCCTCCTGCCCCCCCAACAGCAGCAATCAAAAATAAAAGTGTGAAGAGGCAGGAGGATGGGGCTGAGCCAGCGGCAGCTTCACCACCCCGGGCTCGGTGATTAATCAGCCCCGTATCACGCCCATCTTCAGGGGAGGCAGGAGGGGAGCGGGGTGACCTTGGAGGGGCTGGTGGGGACAGACAGGCTCCACATCCTGCTCCACGTCCTGCTCACCACAGAAAAGGAGGCACCCAGCAGTGGGGCCCCAAAGCAAACCCCATCCTGCCCCAGTTTGGGGTGACTCCAGGCAACTTGGGTGTTGGCTTTTTTAAATAACCGCATAAATGAGCAATAAGGGGAACTGGCAGGACAGCACATCCCGGCCCCCAGCTTGGATCCAGCAGGGCAAATAACCCACCACGGCGCTGGGATTTAGAGCCACCACACGCCCCAAAATCCTAGAAACCATCCTGGCAAGTTGGG